AACACATCATACAACATCCTCCTCGGAAGGCCCTCCCTCAACAAGCTAGGTGCTATCGTGTCGACTCACTCCACACTTAGCCATGAAATTCCCATCGGAGTCTGGCCGAATCATCACGGTCCATGCCGATCAGAAAGCGGCCATGGAGTGTTATTTTGCTAGTCTTCGGCTTCCCCGCCTTGAAACAACCGAGCCTCGCGGAGTGAAACGTATACACACGATAGCGCAAGAGCTTGAAACAATTGTGGACCTTGACCCTCGAATGGAGCAAGACGAGAGGGTCGAGCCGATTGATGACCGACAACCAATTGTTATCGGGCCGACCGACCTACACGTGACCTATCTGGGTTCTAACTGTCCGAAACGGAGAAACGCGAAATCGGACATGTCGTTAGGAAAAACAAAGACCTCTTTGCGTGGCGGCCAGCCGATATGCCAGGTATCGACCCCAACTTTTTATGCCACAAATTCTCAGTGTGCCGAGAGGCGAAACCAGTCGCCCAACAAAAAAGAAAGATGGGAGAAGAAAGAAAAAAGGCGGTTGAAGCAGAGGCATCCAAGCTCTTGGAAGCGGGATTCATTCGAGAAATCCAGTACACAACCTGGTTGGCCAACGTTGTCATGGTCAAAAAGTCAAACGGTAAGTGGCGAATGTGCACCGATTACACAGACTTGAACAAGGCATGCCCCAAGGATGCCTACCCGTTGCCGAACATAGACCGATTGGTTGATGGCGCAGCCGGCCATAAGTTCTTGACCTTTCTCGATGCGTACTCGGGTTATAATCAAATCCGTATGCACCCCCGAGACGAAGACAAAATGGCGTTCATCACGGAATCTGCCAATTATTGTTACCAAGTGATGCCTTTCGGCTTGAAGAATGTCGGGGCAACATATCAACAGCTTATGGACAAAATCTAGATTATATTTAACATGAATATTTTTTTTAAAAAATTAATAAAAACTGAGTCATGCAATTCAATTAGTGACTCACCGGTTTAACCTATAACTCACTGACTCAATACCTTAACCGGTTTGATGACCGGTCTAGTTTTTAAAAATATGCTCATTACTCAAGAAAGAGAGAAAACTGGATGTTCGATCAACTCTTTTTGAGGCCTAAGATAGTTCTAAAAAGTAGTAATAATTAGCTAGTGTTGGTAAATGTAACTTTTAAACTAAATAAAATTAATTTCATATGCCACCTATATACTTAATTAAAATTTAATTAATCTTATTCAGTTGGGTGGGGGGTTTACACAAATTTTCATTTTCCAACCTACACTTGCTAGAAATTATTTGATTAAAATATTTTTTCTTTACTTTATTGATTCGTAACTTATTTTTACCAGCTTGAAATGCATTTTCTAAACTCATTATCACGAGTCTGGTTGCTTAATTTTGCTCATCCCTAGTATCCTAAATCTGAGGACCTTAATAATATTAAAAACTAATGCATCAAGTTTTGTTACGAAAGGGATTTTAGAACATTTTTTTATAAACTTGAAAATGGAACAAATTAGATATCATCTAAGTATCTAGCATCTCGCTCAACAAAATTATTCTAATATTAAAAAAATAAATTCTTAGTGTATTTTTAATATGAACATCAAAGCATCGTTGTATGCTTTTAACAATCAATACAACTTATCTTCATTAAGAGAACTTATAAATTAATATTGTCAAAGTTTCTTCTCTTACATTATCTCATAGAATTGCATTTGTCATTATAAAGTAGAATTCAATAAGTTCTTTGTATCTATGATCTTCTTGTCAATAATTTCATAATGTAAAATGATACTTCCATCAAGTTACAAGTTCTCATTTCATGGTACTCTAATATATATATATATAGGGTATTTAATGAGAGCATGTCTTATTATGGAAGGTGAGATCACTAAATAATAGACTTTAAATTATAGATAAAAATAATTAATGGTTGAAATTAAATTTTAATATAATTTCATAATGTAAAATGATATTCCTAACAAGTTACAAGTTCTCATGTCATGGTATAGGGAGTATATTAAATGAGAACATGTCTTATTATGAAAGATGAGATAACTAAATAATAGGCTTTAAATTATAAATATAAATAATTAATGGTTGAAATTAAACCTTAAATATAGACACTTACCTATATGATTATTACTATTGTCACTTTCATGATACCACGATCACCACCATCCATTGTCATTGCCACCTTCACACCACCATTGTCATTGTTGTTACTACTACCACCATTATCGCTTTTACGTGGTAACGATGGTGGTAATAGTGGCAATAATGGTGGCAATGGTGATTATATTGACGATGATGCCACCATCATCAGTGTTATCCTAACTATATTTACCACTATTGTGCCACCACCATGACATTATCGTTATCAATTTATCATTATCATGGTGATTATGGTGACGACGATGATGACAACAATGATAGTGATGGTGGTAATGATAGTGGATGATAGTAATTGTGGTAGTCATTAAGGTGACAATAATAGAACTCTTATAGGAGAGATCAAAAATTAATTTTTAATTTCAATTATTATTTATTTTCATCTTAAATTTAATGACTATTATTTACTTCTCTAATCTCTAATAATAAGACATGTTTTCATTAGATACACTTCTTATATATAAAAATATAGTATTTTAGTTTGTATAATGTATAAACATGTTTATCATATATAATTAAAATTTACAATAAACTATATATAAATAAATATTATGTTTGAATATGTAAATTATATTTAAAATTGAAGGATTTGCTTATTCTAAAAGTAAGTCTTAGTAAATTTACTTCATTCAAAAACTCATGATTTACATCAAATTTTAACAATTCAACTATTATATTAGAAGTTCTTAATGTATATATCAAATTTATAAATATTTAAAAAATTTGAGAATCATATAATATTTTGTTATATAGATTTAAATCAACATATAAAACGCTTTTGTAATTATCCGTCAATTTGAATTAATGAAACAAAATATCCAATAATTTTCAAATTTCTAAAAAATTTATGAACTTGATCGGTACATTTAGTACTTTAAACTTAATGGTTAAACCGTTAGAATTTTATATAAAACATGAGTTATTGAGTGAAATAAGTTTATCAAACTCTTACTCTTATAAGTGGATTCTCCTTTAAAATTTATATAAATAGATATTTTAAACATATAAATTTATATTTTATATTTATGATACACAATTTATATTCTAACACAATTTTTTATTTATTCATAATTTGTTTTAAAATATGAATATTTAATTTATAAATTATTATGATAAATAAAAAGATAAATTATATAAAAAAAATAAAAAAAATTTCTATAAATTTTCTTGTGAAATAAAAACCTTTAAAAACGCCTTCACTTAAAATAATGAATTATGTTGAATGTATAAAGGTTGATTGCTAACACATATTTTCATATTGCTAATCTTACAAAGTCCCGAGGCACGTTGTCGAGACTATGGGAAATTTTCGTTGTGTGAAGAATTCATAAAAAAGTCAACAACATTTACAAAACAAGAATTTGGCAGAGTTTCGTCCACACAATTCCAGATTTTGTAAGAATTCTCGTTGTGTGAAGAATTTATGAAAGAATTAACAACACTTCATCAAACAAGAATTTGCCAGTCTTCTCAACATACCTCGGGATTATGTAACAAGATTCACAACATGAGAATATATATTAGCCTGTATCTACATGAATATATATAATATATATAGAATCTGTTGATTCCATATATATTGATTTAAATTAATAAAGTAAAATATTAAATAATTTATTTTTTTTTTAAAAATTATAAATTTAATTTTTTATTAAAATTTTTAAATTTAACAATTAAATTATTAAAATTTGATTAAAATATGATTTATTAAATAAAATAAATTTAAATAAATTCTCATAAAGTAAGTGAATCTCTATATATATATAAATTTGAAAAAATCTGTGTAAAACTTATTTTATAAACAAATATTTTTAAAAATAATGTTTTTTTTAATGTGTGTATCAGTATAAATATATATTTAGGATTTTTGATAATTAAACTTTTTTTAATAATATATTTCTAATATAATAGATTCATATGAAAATTCAGGTTTACTTTATCTATATTTTTAATTATATTTTATAAATATAATATTTAATAGCATTATAAAAGTTAATCCACCCTCTATCTCAATCTCACACTGACTATAATATTTTAAAAAATATAAAATATCTTTTCATTGTAACATTTATAAACTTTTTCTTAATTTGTCTTCTTATAAATTATTAAACTATCACATATCACAATTCAAAGTAATTTATTTATTAAAAAATAAACTATTTTAATAAAATTATTAAAAAAATATACTTATTGTTCTTCTTAATTTATGTGAAAAAATTTGAAACTATAATCAAGATAATAAAAGTCATATATAGAAAAGAAATATGTCTTTTATTTATTTTTCATATTAATACTATATAAATCCAATAATAACTAATTTTCTTTTCAAAAATTTAAACTACATATCATTTCTTCAGACTCAACACAAATTTTAGTAAACAACGAAAAGTGTATAAAACAAAATGTCCGATAAATGTCTTCATACTTCTAGACTTCTGGTCAACATTTTTCCTTTATACGAAAACGCACCGTATCACGTATGTTTTTCGAACTAAACAACCATGAATAGGTTTAGGAGGTACAAAATTACTAATTAATTAATTAATTAATTAATTTAAAACTAATTAAATAGATAACTTATATAACCCCAAGCGTGTGGTTCAGCGGTAGGGGTTGATCCACGCTTAAACAAGGTCAGGGGTTCAAAGATGTAACAAGGAGATTAGTCACTGCTGTCGGCGGTGGATACTCCTGGAACGAAAAAAAAAAATAGATAACTTATATGAAAACCTGGTGATAATGCACTTTGACTGTACAAGATTAATTTATAAATAAATAAATGAATGAATTAATAATTGTATAAATGAGAATTAAGGGAGATTGAGACTCCATTATCAAGCAGAGAAGCAGTGACAGAAGACACTCGGCTTTCGATTCCTGTGTGGAACGAAGCAAAGTGTCGACTTAACCCAACTTCGGATTCACCAGCACGAGATCCATCTTCGTCAGTTCCGTTCCGATTCGTGTGAGTCTCACCAAGTCTTCATGCGACGTTGACGCTGTCTTTTCTTGTTGTCGTTTCGCTTTCCTTTCGTTTTCGCTCAGTGCCCTCGCGCATTCAATTCTGTTGCGTGGTCGCTTTAGCATCGCACTTCCACCTAACTGTTATCTCAATTCACACACACATACGCACACACCCCATCTTACTCTTTTGCTTTGCTTTGAGTCCAAGTGCAGCGTTTCGCTGCATTGTCTTGCTTTGAGGATTGCTATCGTTGTTTTTCCCCTTTATTTTTTACAAAGTTTGGGTTTTTAGGTTCCCCATTGAAGTTTGGTTTACTTGGGGTGGTGGGGTTGGTTTTGATTTTGTTTTTTTATTTTTTTTATTGCTATTGATTAATTGTTGTGGTCAATTTTGAAGGTCAACAGTTGGGGTGTGTGTTTGGGTTTGATTTGGATCTTGGGGTTAGGAATGGCTTATGAGAATGTTCAGTGTGTCTGAGGTGTGATGTTTGGTGTTTCAGATGTTTGTGTAGGGGGCGGAGTGTGAGGGTTCTGAAGGGTTGCTCCTGAGAATGGCTGACATTGAAGGTCTGGCTGAGGCTGCAGGGGCCAGGTTTAGTTCATTGGAGCTCATTGGACAGGGATCATTCGGCGACGTGTATAAAGGGTAGGTGCTTGATTTTGGACTATGTAATGTAATGTGCCTTGGTAAATTGAATTACCTTCTCATGTTGTGTTCAAGGGAGTGTTTTAGTGTGAGGCTTTCTGTCTTGTTGCTTTTGCAGGTGGAATGTGCTTTACTTTCTGTTATTTGATGCAAATTTTATGCTTTGTACTTATTTCACTTGCTCAGTTGATACTAAGGATGCTAGAATGTATTGTGTTGTCATCTGTAATTCGTTGCTAGGGTAAATTAAGGGTTTATTATGGATAAGAGTTGAGTGGGTTAGGAAACCTGAATATGAATGTCGTATCGCTCGTTATTATATTAAGGAATAAGGACCAAATGAACCTTTTTACACAATATTGTGTATTGTCTAAAAGGAATTATCTTCAGATTATCTCATGTCCTAGTTCCCATTATGCCACCTCCTAGCTGGCAATGGGAATAGCCTGGCGTAAAGAACTAGTTTTGTTCTAGGATAACTTTTATTAACAGGGCCTAATGTCACATGACGTGGACTATGAATTTTTTGTCAATTTGTTGCACTCTTTTTCCCAGGTTCGATAAAGAGCTCAACAAAGAAGTTGCTATCAAAGTGATTGATTTGGAAGAATCGTAAGTATATTCTTTTCATGAATAATCAAGATTGTTTTATTTATTTGGTTACATTAACTGATCATATAACAATGGGCATCTGAACAAACATCTTACACTAGATTATCTCAGATTGTGTGTATGTTTGAATTATGAAATAGACATCAAGTACTGCACTGGAAAAATAACTCAGTTTTTCCTTGTCTTCCTTAATATGTTATTTGTATAAGGAGTATGGAATCCTGCAACTGTATTGATCTATCCTCATCCGTAATATATCTCTAACATGCCCTCTCACGTAGTAGTGTTTTGGTCTTGAAATACGCATAATGCATATGCTCATTTATTCAACTTTTTGATTAGAAGAACAGAAGCAACATCCGTTTTTTTTTCTCCATTTAAAGGCTGAACATTATTAACTGAAATGTAAAGTTCTTTATTTATTTTTTAATGAAATGCATTTTATCCATTTAACAATATAGTGAAGTAGCACACATTTGTAGCAAAGTAGCAAACCAAGTGAACCTCATTTCCTTAAGTATTTAACTTAGATTTTGTCTCTTTTTAGAATGTTGTGATTCTTTTCTACATTTTATTGCCTTATTGAACTCATAATTCTGATACAATTGTTCCTTACTGTTACTTTACAACATTCCTTTTCTTTCTTATACCTTATCTGCAGAGAGGATGAAATTGAGGACATTCAGAAGGTATAAATAGAATCCTACAGACTACTACTACTTTACAATATGTCTCTTTCACCAAATGTTTAATGCTATTTCTTCAATTATTTTCTTTGTCAGGAAATTTCTGTTCTGTCACAATGTCGATCTCCATACATTACTGAGTATTATGGTTCCTTTCTCAATCAAACTAAACTTTGGATAATAATGGAATACATGGCTGGAGGCTCTGTTGCTGATCTAGTAGGTTACTTCTATTTTCTTGCTTCTATATTTTCAATGTGTATGCATAAAAAAGATGGTGATCTTCCTTAGAAGTTGCCTCTATTAATAGAACATTTCTTGCTTGTGCTACAATTTTTTCATGTGTTGAATTCTTAAATCACAATCTCTGACAAGAAAAGCTGGTTACAACTTAACATTCACATATAAACATTAAAAATATGGATATAATGCCCTTAAGGGGACACCACTGTGCATCTTTCTAGCCAAATCTTTCCTTCATCATGCAATATTTTGACCAGCTCTTCCAACTAATGATCATTCTAATCATTTTGTTGAGTTTTCTTTCCAGTAATGCTGATCTCTGTCATTTTCAGCATCCTTAAGCTGTTTTACTAGCTGTTTTATGGATCCCACTTTATGTTACTTATTTTATTTTTTAAAGTGTTCAGTTGTATATCAGCTTAAAACTTGTTAAGACTTAAGATTTAGCTTTAGGGACAGTGTTAGAACATCTCAAACTATTCTAGAATGTTTTATCGTATCTCTAGAATATATTTGTAAAATCATTGAATATCTTCAATTTCAGAATATATTATGGAATCAATTAGTCATCTAAATCTAAATGAACATCAGTGATACTAGGAGTTATTCTGTATTTATTATGTTTCCTATTTCTTATTCAACTAACGGTTATTTATCTTATTATCATATTAGTGGGTTTGGACTTGTTGTACTAGTTAAACTAGTACTGGACCTAATTGTTACTAAAAATAAGACCATTGGGTTAGTATTTTGTATTACATTATGTACCATATCAATCTCAATATTATTCAAAGTCCATAATTGTCTATTTTCTCTTCTCTTCCTAAATGCTCTAATCCAAACACTAGTTTTTTTTTTTTTTTTTTTTTTTTTTTTTTTTTTAATTTTTAATTTTTTTATTATTTGCCTTTTTTTTTTTGCTAATTACCATGTCCAATATGGCTATATGGTGGTTTTGCTTTTGTAGCTCCAATCAGGTCCCCCACTCGATGAAATGTCAATTGCTTGCATTTTACGTGATTTACTTCATGCGGTTGATTACCTACATAATGAAGGAAAAATTCATAGAGACATTAAAGGTATCAACAGTGACACTTTTATTTTTGTATGCTTTGAAGCTGCATTTCCATAACTAGAAATTTTATAATCTTGGAATTCAATTTTTTTTAATATCTATAATTCACAGAATTTGTATGTCAATTTTGCAGCTGCAAACATTTTATTGACGGAGAATGGTGATGTAAAGGTATAAGTCTTATTCTGAGAGAGACTCTAATTTCCATATTTTTTTTTAAGAAAAGAAGACTTACTTGATAAATGATGCATAAAATAATTTGAGATGTGAACTAGCATGCATTTGCATATGAATTTCTAAGTGATTTTGTGACATTGTCACAGGTTGCAGATTTTGGTGTCTCTGCACAGTTAACAAGAACTATATCAAGGAGAAAGGTAAACATATTAATTGGTGCATATCATTTTTTATTTTTCTATGCTAATTGTTTGAACTGCAGACATTTGTAGGAACCCCATTCTGGATGGCACCTGAGGTTATCCAAAATTCAGAAGGATATAATGAAAAGGTTATCTTGTAGTTACTGTACAAATCAATTATGTTTTCTTTGAGTCCACCCTTACATATTTGTTTTTATTCTGTTGCAGTGAAAATAGAAAATGGTATTGGGAATGTTTTCTTTCAACTTTTGAAAACATTTTCTGTGAAAACATTTTCAGAAATAAGTGAAAAACTGAAAATAAAAAAAAAAGTTGTTACCAACTTTTCCATAAAAATGAAAACAGTTTAATTGAAAATGCGGTGGCACAATTTGTAATTTTAATAACAATTTTATTATTTTTTTCTTCTAATTTACTTTCCGTGTAACTTGGAGCATGATTTAGTAACGTTGAGACGTGCTTGATAATTACGGAATGTTAGTAAGGTTAACGTGCTTGATAATTATTATACTCTGAATATCCTTTTTCTATTTTAATCTAAAGTCTAAACTGAGTTTATGAGCAATTAGAAAGTGGGTCCATGCTGTACATAGCGAGGATAAATGACTAAATTAAATAATCAATTACAATAAAATAAGGAAAAATGAAAAAAAAAAAGTACGCCACAGGGACTAGAGAATTTCATTTAGTTGACATTGGTACTCATCTAAACATTTTGAATATATCTATAAATAATAATAGAAGGAAATTTAAATACAATTTATTTATTATACAAATTATCAAAAGTAAAACTTTATTTGTAATTAAAAATAATAATACAATAATATAAAAATATGCAAAAGATTAATTATAAATTGTTTTGATAGAAACAGGACAATTTCCTTATTTATAATATTTTTTATCTTAGGTATTTATTTAGTCCCAATATAGTAATTTTAAGGGTAAAAATTCATTAAATTAGGTTTGAGGAGTGCATAACTTATGTTTACACGCTAATTGCATAAAATTATCTTTGATATCTCTCATGACTCAGGATTAAAATAATGCACCACTTTACATGTAGTTCAGTAAATTACTTCATCTCTTTATCTGCATGTTGAGAACTTATTTTTGATGAAATATAGAAATATGTTCACTAATAAAAATTATAAATATATCCTTATTATCAAAATTGCTTAAACCAAACATATTTTCAATGTTTTTATTTTCAAAAAAATAGAATATGAGAAGTCAAAACAAACATTTTCTAAATCCTAAAAGTTTAAGAATGAAAATTGTTTCCAGAAAATGAAAATAGAAAACATATTTTTGGAACCAAAAGTACCCTTATTGTTTTTGTCTTTATCTGCTATGAATCATCACTCTGTATTTTGTTTATACAGGCAGATATCTGGTCTCTGGGGATTACTGCAATAGAGATGGCAAAAGGGGAGCCTCCACTTGCTGATCTTCATCCAATGAGAGTGCTTTTCATCATACCCCGAGAGAATCCACCACAAGTTCTGTGTTTTATAATATCAGATTAATTTTTCTTTCAAGTTGCAAAGTATTTTGAGTTCATGAAATTTTCTTGATGGAGATGTTTTTTTCCCCAGTTAAAAAGAGTTAACATTTAATGACATTTTGTGCAGCTGGATGAACATTTTTCTCGTTATATGAAAGAATTTGTTTCGTTGTGTTTGAAGAAGGTTCCTG